GGGTAGCAGAACCAAGTAGGGCCTGCCCTTAGTAGGCCTTATTCTTTGCCCGAGCGTAACATCACTGCTTTAGGATGCTCAACAGTCAGTCATCCAGTGGTAAGGTTCCCAGATATAGACATGTACCTGGGAAAAGGTAAGAGGTCCTTTTTAGGCCTTGAGCCTAAACAACATGAAATTACCTGAGCCTCGCAGCCAACTGTGATCTAACATATGATGAAGTTGTGCACTTTTATTCTCATCTGCTATTCCATGGGTACAGCTTCCTTAGGAGTCTGGAGGGATGGGGGAAACCCTGGCTTCTTTAATAACCCCACCCCAACAATACTCTCTCAAGTAGGAAGCAAGGTGAAAATGTGTGCTCTCTAAAATTTCCTAGTCTTTTATGTACATCTTCCATTGGTTTGGTATTTATAGCTTCATATCTGTAAAACTGATTTTTTCTAGATGACACTGCAGTGTGCTCCTTAACTAGTTGAAAAAATTAAATTTCCATGTAAAGGTGACGCTGACAGCAATAACATGGACATTCAACAAACATTTTTTAAATTACATTCCATTTTAATATTCATGTTCTTAAAAAACAAAATGCTATGCCCCTATCCATTCCTTAAATACAAAGATGTAATTTTATTCATGCAATTATATCAGTAATTTTCAACTGGTGTGTTACAAGAATTTTTAAACCATGCAATACCTGACTATTTAGTTAGGGGCACTAACCTCTTTTCCCATAGGTTGTCAAATATAAAATGACAACAGCCAACACAATAGCCATCTGATGTGAATGAATCAAAATTATAACTATTTTTTTTGTCAGATCGGCAAAAAATGTAAGATTTTTTGGTGTGCCGCAGAATTTTCGTAATTAGTTTATGTGCCAGGAGATGAAAAGGGTTGAAAATCTCTGAATTATATCAATGCTGTTCAACATGTAGGGCTTTCTCTCTCCCTGTTTCAGTTGAATTTCACTCTGAACATCTAATATTGACAAGTGCCAAGCTACTCTAGTTAGATTACCATTTACATTTCTAAAAACGGCACAATCACTCCAAAAATACTAATTCACACTCACTACTAATCTAATACCAGTCTCCTACAAGTTTCAAAGATCTTAACAAACGTCCAAAATATCAGTCTCTTAAAAATGTCAAAGATCTTACTCCATGTCCATTTGGTACAAGTCTTCATGCTGCTATGCAAACAGCCACCCAACTCCCTTGATCCCCATGTTAAAAAATAAGGCAAAGACAGAACAATATTCTCTACCTGCAAGAGAAGGTACAATAGAGGGACAGTGTAGGAGGGTCCTGGGGTTCCCGCACCTATTTCACGTGCCTCTTTCAACTGTCTTCCTTTGGCCACGCTGGGACTCGATCCTCTGATGGAAGGCAAGTTGGCTGCCATCCTTCAGTTATCACAGTACTGTACCTTTAGAATGGACAGCATCAGCACTGTGATAACTGAGCCAGGGCAGCCTGTCAGTCTCTGTGCGGGCTGGTGGCGTCCTTTCCGGGTGACCGCACGACTCCCTCAGAAGGCTCCCCATGAAGTGAAAGACTGAAAGATCCCCTTCTGGTTCAATGTGTGGAGAAGCAGAAGGAAAAGTGGGGTCATAGCCCAGCGCATGGTGATGCTGAAATAGTAAGAGGCCCAGCTGAATTACAATAGAATGAAAGACAAACACATGATTTATACACATTAACGAGGATGAGCAAACATGTTTAGGCAGTAAGCTTTCCATCTATGTTTCACGGTGTATTTCTTCCATGCATAGATTCACTGACACTATCCTCTTGATTCAGTCACTGGTGAAACAGATATTTATTTTTTTATTTTAAATATATTTTTGTTGATTTCAGAGAGGAAGGGCGAGGGAGGGAGGGAGGGAGGGAGAGGGAGAGGGAGAGAGAGAGAGAGAGAGAGAGAGAGAGAGAGAGAGAGAGAGAGAGAGAGAGATGATGATGAAAGAGAATCATTGATCTTCTACTGCCTTCTGCATGCTCCACACTGGGGATCGAGCCCACAACCCAGGCATGTGCCCTGACCTGGAATCGAACTGTAATCTCCTGGTTCATAGGTCAATGCTCAACCACTGAACTATGCAGACTGGACTACAATGTTGTAAGACCTCTTCTAGACGTTCAAGAAACTAAGATATGTAAAACATGGTCCCTGTTCTCCAAATGTTCCCTATCAAACAGCAATATTTCACTTCTGCCTGACATTCAAGAATTTTCTATGTGCTTCCTCATTTGGTTTTCCATAAGAACCCTACAGGGTTGTCAATGAATTATTCATTAATTCATCAAAACAGGATTCTGGAAATGGGTTAGATATCATTAGCCCATTTTACAGATAGAAAATAAAAACCTAAGAGAGGTTAGGTGATTTACTTGAGATTATGGTGAACCCGGACTCAAATCCATGTCTAATGACAGTGCTTTTTTTTTCTCTACCTCAATCTGGCCATCCAACTCCATCAAGTAGATATTCAGATTACACAATTTACACAAACAAAAGGATTTCTGAAAACATATACTTTTTGCTTAAGATTCTTACTTTTCTCAGTATCTCAGATCATAAAGCAGAAACTAGTGGGAGTTTTAAGAAGAAATGTACATTTATATATAAAAAAAGACACTGTTCTTATTCTGAGTGCTAAGAATGTACTCAAATTGATGACACTGGTGATTACATATTTAGCATACCTGCGGGGTGGTTTTCACACAAGTTAATGTCAATCCTATGGTTATGGTGGTGCAAGAATCATTAACAAACTTTAGAATGCCTTTTTAAAAAATCAACATATGCTTTGAAATTATCTGTACCTTTGAGATGTACACCCTGAAGTCATTTCAGAGATGTATTTTTTAAATAAAAAGGACAAAAAAATTCTGAAATTGGAATTCAGTCTTTTTGAATACCAACTTATTAAAACTATGATTCACTTGGCTTTTTTCCATGTTGGCCATAAGTTCTCAAGCTACTTCAATATGAGTGAAACTTGACAGATATTTGAAAAATAATTATGGTTTCAATTAGGCATTTGCTCAGTTTCAAAGACTCATTATATGCAAATTAGATCTTAGCACAGTACTTCATATAAGTCAGAAAAATAAATTCTTTTGATCAGCAGGAGTCAAAAAAATAGAGTACAACGATTCTAGCTCAATTATTAACATTTATGTACTATGAAACTGACCTTATCTTCAGAAAAGTCATATCCAATGAAATAATCCACCCACACACAAATTAAAACAACATTCATTCTCTAAAGTGCAAAAATATCTACAAGTTAGAGGTCATTGCCTAGGTCTTAGCCAACTGATGTAATACAAAGTTGAAACACGAGAGGGCAATGAAGATTTTTTTTAAAAGAAAAAGTTGGATCCCATAACCTAAGATTCCTGGAAATAGCTGCACATTTTCACCCAAATTATAAACATCTGTTAAATGAACAAAGATATTATGATTATTTGAGAATACAATGTAAGATAGCTAATCCATCAAAAAGGATAAAAAGATTACTACCTAAACACCTTCTGGCCACAAGTTCTATCTGCTTTGGAAAAGATGAATACTCACTCTGAAGTACTCCAGGGAGGGTAAGTATGGGAACAAATAAATAATTTTGATCCACTTATTAGCTATTAGACTGTTCTTCACTATGATTAAATACTAGTGAAACTGAGTATCTAAACATGAACTATACTGCTCGGCTGTGGTGGCTCAGTAAATTGAGCATTGTCCCACGGACCAAGAAGTCTCAGGTTCGATTCCCTGTCAGGGCACATACCCGGATTTCAGGCTGAATCTCCAGTAGGGGGTGTGCAGAAGGCAGCCAATCAATGAGTCTCTCTCATCATTGATGTTTCTATCTCTCCCTCTCCCTTCCTCTCTGAAGTCAATAAAAATATATTTTAAAAAATAAGTATTAAGTATACAAAGATGAACTTAATGTTTGTAATGCACTACAAAGGTGAAATTCACTCTATTAGCTAAGACCAAAAAACCAGACAATTGAACATTTTTGGTACAATAAGTAAAGCGTATTTCTTTATTTTTCCCTCATTTCCATTTTTTTTCTATCTAAATTGGGGGTTAAAAAACAAGAGACCAAGTAATAAGCAAATTGTTATTCTGTGACTAGTTATTGAAATTAATATTCTCTCAGAAAAATTCTAAAGCAGTTTCAAGAAAAATATGGGTTTTCAGAATTATCTATAATAATAAAAGCATAATATGCTAATTAGACTGGACATCCTTCCGGACGAAGCCAGGGCTGTGAGGGAAGTCCGGATCCAGGTGCCAGAGGGAGGCTGGTGCCGGCAGGCGGGGGAAGGAAGGCCTACTCTTGCATGAATTACATGCATCGGGACTCTAGTATTTCATAAATAGTAATAAATGCTTCACAAATGTAAGTTTTGTTTCTTCTTAGAAATTATTCCTTATGAATGTGTATTTTTTAAAAAACAAAATCTATCCAAAACATTTCTTTTTCCATAGAACTTTCTTACAAATATAAAATTGTTCTGATTTTAAAACAAGTAAATGCAGGTGCTCATGCCACAGCATGAAAAGCATACTGCACAGTAAGAGAGGGAGAGGAGATAGTGATGTAAAATGTTTTCCTCTAGAGAGTAAATTGTTTTTAAATTCAGTTCTATGATACAACTGAGAATAATTTCTTCATGATGCATGCACCAAATATTACCTAGATTCAAGAAAACTGAGTACTTCTGACAAACTAGTATACTAAAGAATTTGCTTTTAAATCTTGTGTAGTACACACACCCAAAAACCATGTCATGTCCCTCTTATCTATGAATAGAAAATGAAAATACAATTATTTTGAACCTTTAAGCACCCGATTACATATTAAATAAGTAGAGGTATTAATAAGCTGCTGGCAATACAAAATATTTGAAAATACTTTTAAACAAAAATAGTTTAAATAGGTTAATTTAAATCCACCAGTCTTGAAAAAAAAAAAAAATGTAAAAAAAAAAAAAATGTAAAAAAAAAAAAAAAAATCCACCAGTCTTTTACTGAGGTGCGACTCCCCCCCCCATGTGAAAACCATAATCCAACTCAGTGACATTATAATGTATGCAAATTTGATCAAACTGTGATATTATAAGAATGTACTGTCAACCAAAAATGCTCAAATTTCAACTACTGCTTTGTCAGAGGTACAACGAATGTATATTAGCATTTTATTGCAAAGCTTTGCTATATTAAGAGTGTTTAAGAACTGGTGCCAAAGTTTGGTAGGAAACTTTTTAAAGGAGAAAGAAATTGGCTGAAAGGCAAGAAAAAGCTAAGGACCACTGTCTGCGCAAAGTCTGCCCTGATTCTCCCAGAGAAGCATTAACCGGGGGTGTCACTGTTACTTACTTTAAGCACTGACGGCTAAATGGTCTCCTTAGCATGTGGGCCCACCTAGAGGAAAAGATCTATGATAGGAAAGTACGCACACAGTAATGCAGAGACAGAAAGAAGAACGTGCTTTCTTGCTTATGCTGACTGGGGTTTTAGTCCAAAAAGGTTTCAGGAGACTAAACTTTACAAGTAAGTGGACTGGCCCATAAATTCTGTTACACAGGCCTTTACCCCTTACACATTCACTCAGCATACATACTTTTATAGTCTGTCTACACCACCGTTATTTTACTTTCTGCTTTTGCTCTAAATTCCATTTTTTCCCCAGAGGTTAGGTTTTATGGTCTGCTCACAAGTCAGTTTTACTCTAATTTCACCTCAGCATTCTATCCTTTTAGAATAACTAGTCAAAATGATACACCCCTAGTTAACCGTCTCTAAAAGCCTTGACAGTCTCCAATTAATCCATTATCTCCTCATTAGTGCAGCCATGCCATTTAAAAACGCTGGGTCTGAAATCCTCAAATTCCCTTAATAGAGAGCTAAAGGGGCAATACCAAAGCCTTGTGCTGACCTCCAATTCTAGAGCCATGGGCTGTTCCAGAAACAAAATCATATTCCCCTTTTCTGCAGAGTCTACCATTCGCAGAGCTTCTATTCCTAAATCTGTGAAATGAACACATTTCTACTTGTAACATATGCCACAGTGGGGTTGCACTCATCATTAAGTGTTATATCGTATCCTGCAACTTAATTTGGCACTATTTACTTATTTACTCAAATCAACAGGACTGTTCCTAAAGTCAGGGGCTGTTTTCATGTTTTTCACAACACGAGTAACAGTCCTTTCCACACAATGCAAGCTCAACAAACATGTGATTAATTGATGAACCTCTTTATTTCCCAGGGATTCTCTAAACAAGTTATCAACAAAAGTGTGTATTTAATTCCAGCCTCTGTAGGTATGCTCTTAGACAAGGTACTTGACAGTTTGTCAATGATAGAATAAAGGGATAGTACTAAATGTCCCATAAGTCCCTCCCTGTACCAATACTAATTCATGAAACAAAACCAAACCCCCAATATAGCATTCTCTCTATTCCAATCAGCATCGTACTTTTTTGGGGGGGAGGGGTGCCAACAACCTTCTGGGCACAATTAACACCAATGGAGCTCTGATGGTGGTTGGGGATAGAAAGTAAATGAAGGAGGAAGAGAAAATAAACAAAGGTGAGTGGTGAGTGGGATCACTAAGATGCCACCAGCTGTCAAAACTGTTTCTGTGCTTCACACTGTTCTTGGATATATTCTGGCATGCCTAGGAGTCTTTTACAAAAGCAGCTATAGCCAGATGTGTGGGTGCCTAAATTTTCCCATGCTGCCTCCACTAACCCTTCTCATACCCTTCACGTTTTACTGACCTTCTTGATTAGAGCACACATCCTGAATAACAATCTGCAAAGCAGTCACTATGAGGTCTCACGTATTATAATAACAATTCTTGGGGGTTCCCAAATCTCCACAAGGAAAAAGACAGAAAAAAGTAGATGACTGACAAACTTGCTATAACTGTCATGCAGTCACTTCTTTTGTAATTAATCCATGGATCAAAAGGAGTGATGTTATAGGCCCACACCATCCAACAGAAGAAAATGTAATCTATATATGTAATTTAAAATATTCTAATAGCCACATTAAAAAATAAAGAGATGAAATTAACTTTAATAATATATTTAAACTCAGTATATCCAAAATATTATCATTTGAACATGTAAACAACTTAAAATTATTCATGAGATATTTCACTTTCTTTTTTAGTACTAAATCTTTGAAATATGGAGCATATTTTATGCTTATAATGCATCTCAATTTGAACACTAAGTTTCATCAGAAATCCTTATTTGGATTAAGATTTACAGTTTAAAAAGTACATGCATGTGCCCAAATTGTTTCCAAATGTATTTAAATTTTCCAATACCTGAATCAAATATCAATTTTAAGAATGATATAAAATTTGAAGTTAGGTTCCTCATCACCATGGCCATATTTCAGGTGCTTGACAGCCACCTGTCTAAGTGGTTACTGCATTAATGCAGGTATAGCCAACCCTGTCTTTGTTACCTGGCTTCTTTTAAACCTGAACCAGATTAAAAGAAGTTACCCCATTCAACAGCAACTCCTTCTACATCACCCACCAGGTGCTCAAATTATGCCAAATACTTTCTGCCCAACTACTAATCCTTACTTAAATTGTCAATATTTCAGTGATGGTCATTTATTAAGCAACTTTTCCCAAGACTGAACAACTCTTTTAGCTCAGGGAGAAAGACACATCTCAATTCAAAGAAAGAATGGAGACACTGAGATTCAAAGATATTCAAAGGCGTTGTTTTGGAGGTAAAGGTGGAAAATCCTGACTAACATTTGTTACTTCTCTGTCCAGGAGGTTAGTCACCCTTCAAAGTTATGGCCATTGTTTATATTGAGCTTCTGGACTTCCATACGCACAGTAGCTGTCACCACACCCATGGGTTCTTCACCTTCCTCAAGTGCTCCTGCCTACTCTACCCCCGCCCCACAACCTCCTTTATCTCTAGCATCCTCTCTAGCCCACATTCCAGGAGCCCCCCTACTTCATTCTGAACAGTGCTTGTTGTTGACGTAATGAAACATGAATAATTCAATAAATGAATCTCGAACCATCCTATTAATCATTCATTGGTCTAGGTACCTAAGTTGTCTTGAGAAAAGCTTTTTTGAATATACATGCCCCCACCCTTACCCAAAGGAACCAATTACAAACACTACAGCATTCTCTCCCCATGTCCAAGTTCAGTGTTCCCCCTGCAGCTGATTTAAAAGTTGATCTTCTAAAGGCGCTGGATTCCTAAGGTAGTTCTATTTTGAGCCTTCTTCCTGTTCTGAAGCTAAAGTTGGAAGGGCTTAGGTGTGATGTCACGGAAGGGAGACGCTGGCTTTTACAGAAGGGTCCTCTCTGGCAACTCCAGGGATGCTCTGATGGTGGAAATTAGGGGGAATATTCACTCCTCATCTCTTTCCCCTCCCTCCCCTTTTGAGTCCCAGCTATTCCTTAGCCAGCAACAAAACAAGTTCAAATAGGCACGAAAACATATTTACATATTATACTCTTTAAGCATCTCAGAAATGAAAAGACTGGGAGAAGGAAACTGGCTCAAACCAGGGAACAAGGGTGACAACCTCGTTCTCCACCCACCATCCCCACCTCCCCAAATATCTATCATAGGGCTAGGGGCAAAGAGGGTGGGAGGCACCGCGGAGAATAAAGGGGTGACAGACCTAGGAAACTTGAAGAGGGAGACACTGTGGGGGATATTCACGACAGAAGGGACACCCTTGGGTCTCTTCCCTTCCACTGTTTTCTCCTCCCTTTTGTATGGTTAGAATTGGGGCTGGGTGTGCCTTCTGCTTTGGGAGGCCTGTTTGGCTCTGGAAAAGGAAGAGGGGCCAGGGTGGGGCCGAGGGAAAGAGAGCCAGAGACTGCTCAGGCCTGATTCTGGGTTAGCTCTTAGAGGAAGAATGACGGGGACTGGAAGGGGACAGCTGAGGATTCCATTAGAAGACCCAGTTCGGAATAAATAACAGCACTGGGCCAAGAGGGGTGCGTGGGGGGGGGGGGGACCTCACTCTCTCAATCTAAACGCAGTAGGTAGTTGCTCCTTGGTAGGGGTGCAGGTCCACAGGAAAAAGGAAATCCCAACACATCTGTAGACCACTACTTGCCAGGCAGGGGATGGATGTGCCCAGTGCAACCGACAGGTGAAAGCAGCACTTTCTGGCCAATTCCGGGATGCGGGGCTGGCTAAAAGCTCTGGGGGAACACAGGATTCCTTGGTTTCTTGGCTCACCTCTCCTCCAAAGCGGGAATAAGCACAGGTGTGGTCCTTCTCCAAGAAGGTGGCTTCTGGCGAGCAGGCGGCTGAGCGAAGGAAAGGATTCTTTGGCCCGGGAAGGCAGGGAGCAGCCTGGGGTCAGCTAAGGCCAGGAGCAGGCGGTGTCCGCCAAGTCCCCTCCCCCTTCTTGAAAACCGACCTGGACCGGCATAAATTACAGCAATACGGCCCCATCCCCAATGCTTCTAATAAAAGAAACAGCCTCTCAAGACTACGTAAAACACTGCAAGCTCCGGCTGATGAAAATAAACAGGTGAACCTGAAGAGAAGCGGGAAGAGACCAGAGATGGGAGAATGAACGCGCTCGGGAGAAATTGAGGCTTCTCCGCCCTCCCTACACACCCACTTCCCTCCAAGCCCAGAGAATCTGCGTGGCAGGTTGCAAGCTACAAATGCCATGATGACAGGCCCCCATCTCTCCGCTCCGAGCCCATTCTCTCTCCTACCCCAGGGTCCAGCGTCTCGTCTCAGCCTCGTGGTAGCGCCCGTCCCCGGACCCCGCGCGCGGGCTCACCCTCGCCCTGGCCCGCCGCCGCGGCGGGGACTCCGGTCTTCCTCTCTGCCTCCTCCTCCTCCTCCTCCTCCTCCTCCTCCGCCTCCTCCTCGCAGACTCCTCCCGCCGGATCCTTCATGTAAACAACATCCAGGCTCTATTTACAGTCGCCGCCGGACCGCGAGGGACCCACGCCAGCACCCTGGGAGGAGGCGGGGGCCGAGGAAAAGCGAGTGCGCAACATTTACACACACACCCGGGCGCCCCGCCCCGCCGCTCCGCGCCGCTCCCCTCCAGGGGGCCGGGGCCGGGCGCCTGGGGGCCGTGGGCACCCTCGTCCACTCCATTCCGCGCGGTGCCCGACGTCCCGGCAAGGGCCGAGGGAAACCGCGGAAATGCCCGTGGGCGAGGTCCCCCCACCCCCCCAACCCGCAGGAAGAAAAACACACCCCAACAACAACAAACCCAGCCCAGCAACACGCTCCAAGTCCGCGCCGGAGTGCGGAGCCCCGGCCCGCCCCGCGCCCCCGCCCCGCTGCCTACCCCGAGGTGACGAGGTGCGTGCGGTCCCCAGGTGGCCGAAGGCTAGCGGGCGCCAGGCAGTGGCTACCCCGCGGCCCTCGCCACCGCCGGGCCCGCCCTCGGCCCGCCCCCCGCGCGGGCGCCGAGCCGCCGGGCCCCGCGGTGTGTGTGCGTGTGCACGCGCCGCGCCAGCCTCGCCAGCGCCTCGCCTCTCCCCCGCCGCTCGCTGCGCCCCCGGCCGGGCTCCGGCGCCCACGGCCCACGCTCCGCGGCGGGCGGCGCAGGGCGCGCACACGGACGCAGACACTCGGCGGCGCGGCGCCCGGCAGCCACGCGCCTCCCGCCGGCGCCCGGCCCCCGCAGGCACCGCCGCCCCCGCGCCGGGCCCGCCACCCCCACCCCCACCCCCACCTGCGCCCCCGGGGTCCCGAGCCCCCCTTCCTTTGTTCTCCCCGCTATTTGCATGAGGATTATCTAATGACGCAGTAAGGCTCGCCACAACGTGACCGTCGCCATTTTTCTGTTTTTATTCTATCTCTGGCATGTGATAGATTGGGGGGGCCGGGGCGGGAGGGGGAGGAGGGTGGAAAAGGGAGAGAGACGGGATTCAAAAACACACAAACTTCCGGGTCTCATGACCGAGAAGGGAGAAAAACAAAAGGGAGACGAGACACAACTCCCAGGGAAGGGTGTGCGCGCGTGTGTGTGCGTGCGTGTGCGTGTGCCTGTGTGTGTGTGTACACGTGCGCGCGCGTGTGCTCCCTTCCCTCCTCTGCTCGGTGAAAGGAGACTCCGCAGCGGACAGGGCGCATCCTCCAACCTAGTGAGCCGGGGGACCCTCGGTGGGTCCAGATCGCACCCGTCAGCCTTGGCAGTCGCCTGCTCTGGTCTCACACCCGCCACGGACTCGGCGGAGCTGTCAGCCTGGTCCTTCCTGGCGGCCTCCACTTGCCGGTCCATCCCAGAGCTCGCGCTGTTGCTCCCGAGCGAGGGTACCGTTTTGGGTTACATTCAGAGAAGTCTCGCTATTACCTAAGGAAAGAAATGATACGTCTTTCCCAAGTTTTAAAATAGTTTGCTTCGATGCTGTTGTTGATGACAACCGCGTGGCCACGCCAGGCAAGGCAGCATCTAATCCTTCCCTCTTTCTTTACCCCCCTTTCTCTTCCCAAAGTAGGACACACCCTTGTGTGGTGTTCCATGGTGGTGGTGGTGGGGGGGTGTTATATGGGAACGGACCATACATACATCAAAGACTGGTTGATTTGGAAGACAGTTCTAATAAATGGTCGGGAGCGTTGTTTAAGGCAGTGGCATGAAGCAAGGTGGATTCGGGTTACACTGATCTTATTCACATTCCGAGGGCGTGACAGACATTTCATTCTTTCCCAAGTCTCCTGTCCGGGGTTGCTGGGGGTAAAAAGTATTTGGGAACTCTGCCACGTTTTTCAGTGAGATATAACACTTTGTACATTTGTTTACTACTGTGTTTCCTTTGGGCACTTTCACTTTTGTTTCTCTTGAGTTCCCTTTCTTGTTTCTTGTCTCGATTTCATAATTCGGAGCAGAAATGGACTTGAGACTTCACCAGGGATCTTCATTTTACCGGGGAGGAAACCAAGGCCCTGAGTAGTGATGGGAGTTGCTCAAGGTCACTTTGGATTAGAGTGGAGTTCAGATGGGGCCCCACTCACCTGGTATCTTAAGGTTTGACTCATATATTTCTTATATATTCAGATTCCACTTTACCTTTCCTGGGAAAGTTTGTCATCTCATTGAACAGCCCTACATGATTGCCATGATTTGTTTCATTTTGTTATTGTTAAAAATATTTTTTTTATTGATTTCAGAGAGGAAGAGAGAGATAGAAACATCAATGATGAGAGAATCATTGATCAGCTGCCTCCTGCACCATTGGGGATTGAGCCTGCAACCCAGGCATATGTCCTTACTGGGAATGAACCATGACCCCCTGGTTCACAGGTCAACACTCAACCACTGAGCCACTGCAGCCCTGCTGAATTTTTTTTTTTTTTTTTTTAGAATCACAATGGACCGCTCCCTGTTTGTGCATCCACTGTGTCCTTTGAATATTATTTCCTGGTGACTTCAACACTTGAGTGTGCAGAATAGTTGTTGTATCTCTCTGGACTAGAGGGTAAGCTTTGAGGGCCAGGGCCATGCCGTGTTCATTTTATATCTCCCATGTCTAGCACCCTGCCTGGCAATGAATGAGCAAACAAAGGCCTGATGAGGGTGTTTTTTCCCCCGTAATTCCATCCTGACCATCTGTAGGAAATTCCTTCCATGTTTCTGGTGAAGGCAGAACACTCGAGAAGCTTTCTGGTTCTTGCACCTTTGCAGACCGTTTTTGGCAGGCTTCTAATTCACAGGGCCAAGCAAAACATAATTTGCTTTCTTAATTTTTTTTAAACTAAGTGCTTTCTCTCCTCCCTTTTTATTTATGTATTTATTTTTTTACCATGTTTGGTTGCTCTTCTTCAGATTCCTTTGAATTCATATAATTAGTAACGCCAACACTTGCCCTTTGATTTTTGCTTTCTTAGACTCCAAAAGGTTGGTGAAGTTTAGCTGTGATTTAATCCTGCCCATCCTGGAATCAAATGATCAGAGGCAGCATTTTGTTTTAAAAAAATTTTTGATTGATTTTAGAGAGAGGAAGGGGAGAGGGGAGAGAGAGAGAGAGAGAGAGAGAGAGAGAGAGAGAGAGAGAGAGAGAGAGAGAGAGAGAAAGAGAGAGAGAGAGAGACATCAATTGATTTGTTCTTCCACTTTTTTATGCATTCATTGGTTGATTTTTACTTGTGCCTTGACTGGGGATCAAACTGAAACCTTGGCATATCAGGACGATGCTCTAAACTGCTGAACTATCCAGCCAGGGCAAGAGGCAGCATTCTTTTTTCTTTTTTTTAATTCTCACTTGATGATTTTTCCATTTATTTTTAGAGAGAGTGGAAGGAAAAATGGAAGGAGGGGGGCAGAGAGAGAGGGATAGAGAAACATCCATATGAGAGACATACATCCATTGGTTGCCTCCTGCATGTGCCCTGACCTGGGAATCAATCCTGTGACCAAGTGCTGACGCTCTAACCACTGAGAAATACCGGCTAGGGTGAGGCAGCATTCTTACTGATTCCTTCTGAAACCCTGTGAACTAAGTGAGGAGGCTGGCAGTTAGTTGACAGGCAAGCTGAAGAGGGCTACTGAAAAGATGTCAACATCTGGACCCAAACAGCTCATTTGCAACTTTAAAAGACTGGAGAATAACTGATGTTTGCAGTTTTACTTACAGCTCGGTGAAGGGTCTGGATTGTCACACATTGGTTCATACACATCCAGACCAATGAGATTCCATTGCATATTTGAACACGAACTGCATGTATTCCTTTGGGTAGGACAGATGAAGTTGGTATCACTGATCATAACATTACTGAGCCTATATTCATCCCAAGTAATAATAATCTGATAATTTTAAGTGTAACAATATCTCCTTCCAGTAAGGTGGAGATGAAACCTAATTATATGTAAAGTCCTATGCTCCCTTAAATACAATGCTGAACAGAGATAAAAGGAACATTGCTCAAAAATATAGGAAATACCTCCAGGGCTCTCGTCTTCCAGATATGCACCCTCACACATTACAAAAAAGATCAAACTTTGGTTCTCTGGGGCAGCGGTCGCCAACCAGTGGTCCATGAGGCCTGAAAGGTTGGTGACCACTGCTTTGGGGGGTATCATCTAGCTGCTGTTTAAAGAGAGTTGTTAAGGGCACTCCAACAATCTTCTAGCTCTCCAATACACACTTGAAAAATGACAATTTGTGGTGTATACTAGTAAGAGCATGGACTTTGGAATCAGGTGCTAATCTCAGCTGTGTCAATCCATTAGCTGTGTCATCCCAGGCAAGCTATTCATCAGGTTTGTTTTTTAAAAATATATTTTTATTGATTTCAGAGAGGAAGGGAGAGGGGGAGAGAGAGAGAGAAACATCAATGATGAGAGAAAATCATTGATCGGCTGCCTCCTGCATGCCCCCTACTGGGGATCGAGCCTGCAACCCAGGCATATGCCCTTGACCAGAATCGAACCTGGGATCCTTCAGTCTGAAGGCCAACGCTCTATCCACTGAGCCACACCAGCTAAGGTTATTTATCAGTTTTGATTCTCAATTTCTTTACTCATAAAATGATTCTCAGTTTCTTTACTCATAAAATGAGCATAACACCTTGCTCAAGTTTTTAGGATTGAAGTTTAATAAAATATTTAGAAAGACCTAGCATGATACTTATGGCATAATCTTTAATGAATAGCTGTAATAATTTTTTAATTGTGCTTTTATTTGCCCCATGCACTTCCTATAATTAGTCTATCCCTTTTGGCTTTCTGCTCTTGAACATTCAACAAACATACTATTAGTGAAAGTTCTGTGCCTATGGAAATAAATAAGAATAGGTTCTGCTCTATCTGGTTTGGCTTAGTGGACAGAGCATTGGCCTGTGGACTAAAGTGTCCCAAGTTCAATTCTGGTCAAGGACACATGGCTGGGTTGCAGGCTGATCCCCAGTATGGGGCATGTAGGAGGCAGCCGTCAATAATTCTCTCTCATATTTGATGTTTCTACCTCTCTCTTCCTTCCTCTCTGAAATCAATCCTATATAATAAAAGGGTAATATGCAAATAGACAGAATGGCAGAACAACCAATCAAAGCGTAATATGCTAATGATATGCTAAGGCTGCTCAACTGCTCACAATGATGTGCACTGACCACCAGGGGGCAGACAGTCAACTGGTCGACCAGTTGCTATGACATGCACTGACCACCAGGGGGCAGATGCTCTGACTGGTAGGTTAGCTTGCTGCTGGGGTGCAGCCGATCAGGACTGAGCTAGATGGGCCGGACATGCCCTGGAGCCCTCCCGTGGTCCCTCCCTGGCCCCGATTGTGCACTGTGGGGTCCCTCAGCCTGGCCTGCACCGTCTCCCAATCTGGGATCCCCTGGGTGATGTCAGAGAGTCGGTTTCAGCCTGATCCCGCAGGCACTCTGTTTGGGAGGGCGCCAGATGCAGGGCTCATAGCTTGTGAGTGCTGCTGTGGCAGCGAGAGCCTCTCCTGATC